AGGCACAGGTGGCCGATCCGAGCGGGGGGCGCGGGGTGCTGCGGGAACATCGGGCGCGGGCGTGGGCTTCGCCCCCGGGAACGCGCTCCGGAGCCCGCGCCCGCCCGCGCTCTGTGTTCGCAGCTGTCCCCGCGCAGACGGAGCGCGGGCGGCACGCGGGGGGCGGGGGCTCCCCTGGCCCAGGGCCCTGCGTCCTGGAGCCAAGTGGGGAAACTGAGGCTCAGGGAAAGGCCGGGGCTGCCTCCATTCTGCACAGGCGCAGATAGACGCCTTGTTCCCTGCTAAGCACGGCAACTGCCGGGGACTGCAGGGTCCCCAGGCTTCCTAGTGCCCTTTGCACAAAAGCTGTGCACCTCCCGCAGCCACAAGGCCCTGTCCAGCTGCTGGACACCGCCCCCGGCCGCAGTGAAGCTGCCTTCTTCCACGCTTTCTCCAATATGGTCCAGCCTGTCCGGGCCTCAGGACCTTAGCACTTCCTTGCCCCGCTGCCCAGCGCACCCTTCTGAATCACGCGCCTGTTTCATGGCTCAGGGTAGAGGGTGAAGAGGTCACAACGGCTCCACGTGCAGGACCCCTCAGAAGCTGGTGGGTCACGGCATCCCCATCCAGGTGCAGCTGAACCCCACATTCCGTCGCCACCAACAGTGTGGCGCACACCTGTGATCCCAGCACTCAGAAGGCTGAGGCAGGAGGATCTATGCAAGTTGGCGTCCTGCCTGGGCTACACAGTGAGACCCTGTCTCAAAAACACAAACACAAGTAGAAAATCGACTTTCAGACCAACAAGGACTGAGACTCCGCGCCGGGTGGCTGGTGGCTCCCGGATCTCACTGCCCAAGACTCCAGGGTTCTAGCCCTCGGCCCTGGACCTGGAGCCCCCAAGCCCCCGAGCCCAGGCCCCTGTGTCCCTCCTGGTGTGGCCGCGATTTCTCCGCCCCACTTTCTGCCCTTCACATGGCGGATGTTGGAGCTCAAGAACGGCGGTTCCAAAAATACCCGGGCGACCTAGCTCTGGAAAATGGGCCGCCCCGCCCCGCCACCTGGCACCCGGGAGGTAATTAGTGCACGCGGAGAATGAGGGCAATGAGGTCTGCGGAACGGGCTCCCAGCCGGCCACGGCGTTCCCCACCACCACTGGTCCTGGGCGCACAAATCCACTCCCCGGCTGGACCCTGCACCTGGTCCCCTCCCGGCCCGAACCCTCCCAGGCCCCTGAAGTCAAGGGACTCGCTTGGGACACATCCGGTTCAAGCCGATGGCTCAAGTGATGTGAAATCACAAGAACTACTGAGTCACAAGGCTGCCTTTCCTGGGCCCTTCTGTGCCCCCCTGTGCCCTGAGATGCCCTCAGGCTCTGGCACATGAGGGCCAGAACAGAAGAAGGGAAGGAGACAGGGAAGGTGCAGAGGAAGAAGAAGGGGGCATTGCAGGTGGGGTTTTAAGGGATGAATAGGAGTTTTTCAAGAAGCTAAGGTCTAATTCCAGCCCTCAGGAGGCTGAAGAAAGAGGATCATTGCAAGTTTGAGACCGGCTTGGCCTACAAAGTAAGCTTAAGGCCAGCCCGAACTGCATAGCAAGACCCTGGCTCAAAAAGACAAGGAAAAAAAGAGAAGCAGCTAAGGTCTGGCAGCTGGTCCAGCTAGCTATGGCTAAGGGAAAGGGGGAGGGAAGACATGGCTGGTGGAGCACAAGCTAAAGACTGGGAACATCATGCCGGGTTGGAGCCATTTCTGGGAACTCATGGCTGACTTCAACCCTTGACAAAGACAATCTTAAGAATTTGGCTCAAAAAGGCAGGTGCCACGGTACAGGCCTGCAAGCCCAGAACTAGGGAGGCTGAGGCGGGAAGATCAGTATGGGTTTGAGGCCAGCCTGGGTGACATAATGAGAGGCTGTCTAAGAAAAACAAAAACAAGAACAAAGAACAAAACAAAAATTTGGCTGAAGAAGCCGGGGAGTGGCTCAGTGGTGGTGCAGGGAGCTCCCTCTCCGGCAGCTTAGGAAAAGAAAGGGAAAAAGGTTCTGGATCAAAACCCGCCTCACAGATTTATTGCTATTCATTATTAGTGTGATTATTTTGTCACGTGCGGCACTGGGAGTTGAACCCTGGGACTTCACACTGAGCTACCCCCTCAGCCCTTTTTCGTTTTTGAGACAGGATCTTGCCCCATCAGGAGGTTTCCCAGGTTGGGCTGGGATTTGCAGTTCTCCTGCTTCAGCCTCCCAGAGTGCTAGGAGGACAGGCGAGCGCCAGCACGGCCATCTGTAATAAATACAGCATGTACAGTTCCGAGTGTCTGAAGTAGGCATCTTGTGCGTGTGATGGGGAAACTGAGGCACCGAGAGGGAAACTGACCTCCTCGGGGTTGCAGTGAGGCGCGCGGCCGGTCCCTGAGGGGGATCGAGTCCCGACAGCCGCCGTGCTCTCCCGGTTGAGCTTTCCTCATCCCGCAGGAGCCGCTGAACCCTGATTCTGCGCCCCTCCTGCAACTGTGGGCGCATTCCTCCGCACCCTGGGGGAAAACGTAGGTCCCGGCCCGGCGGTCCGGTCTCCGAGGGAAACCCGCAGCTCCCTCGCCGCCAGCCCTGCGCCGTCAGCACATTGCCCAGGTGGGCGAGAACACCGAGACAGCTTCAGGTCCGGCGCGCTCCGGCCAAGCCCTGCGGGGAGGTGGCGCCAGGGCGCACCTCAGCTCTCGCCGCTCCACAGCCGGTGCCCGCCCACACAAGGAGCGGAGTCTGCTCGGGCCCTGCGCCCGGCCGCCCCCCCAGAGTAGCCACATGGCCCGCTCCGCCGCCAGCCGGCACTTGGCGCAGGCGAGCAGAAGCCGGGGCCGCCGGCACCTACCCCACTTACTTCTGGTTCCTGTAGTGAGGCGGCGCTAAGAAGCCAAAGTCACTCTGAGCGGAACAGACAACAGACGGTATGTGCTTTGTTCCCACCAGCGCTGGAGCGTTGCGTGGCTTCCGGCTGAGAAGGAAGCCAAGCGTTCGCCCTTGCCCCTGCGATGACGCTAGGACCGGCGGGGAGGTTGAGTCCTGGACCCCACACCTCATGTTCCCAGCTGACAGAAGAGCTGCTCTGGCGCCGGGATTGCCAGCTCTGGAGAAGCCACGGTGGTGTCCGGGTTGAAGGAGGCGCCCCGGGCACAAGCAGGGAGCAAGGAGGGAGACTGAGAGCCTGACCCGGGGGAGCACGTCCAAAGAACACGGCCATCATCCCAGCACTTGGGGAGGCTGAGGCAGAAAGACCTCCACCAGTTCCAGGCCAGCCTGGACTATACCTTTTTCTTTGGTTTGGTTTTGTTGTTTGTCTTTTGGAGACAGGGTCTCACTATGCAGTTCAGGCTGGCCTTGAGCTCACTTTGCAGCCCAGGCTGGTCTCGAACTCACAGTGATCCTCCTGCCTCAGCCTCCCGAGTGCTGGGATTATAGGAGAGCACCACCATGTCTGGCTAGCCTGGACTATACTGTGAGACCCTGTCTCAAAAAACAAACACCAGCACTCGGGAGGCTGAGGCAAGAGGATTGGTGCGAGTTCAAGGCCAGCCTGGGCTACAAAGTGAGCTCAAGGTCAGCCTGAACTGCATAGTGAGACCCTGTCTCAAAAAGACAAAAACAAACAAACACAAATAAAAAATGCCACATTGCTTGGCCTGGAACTCTCCCGTGGCAGGGAGGCTGCTGCCTGCTCAGCCTGGCACTGGTGTGAGGCGCAGAGAGAAATCCCCAGGCCCAGGCGCTGGGTGGGCGGGGGTTTCTGGGACCACACAGCCCACGGTCACAGTGGGAGCCCCTGGACCGGGTCCCAGAACAACCTCGGTGAGGATCCACCGGCTCGCTGCGGCGTCCCCTGCCTGTGACCTCGGGGTCCAGGTGTCCCCTCCGCCGGCACAGCCCAGCTCCAGCTGTGTTCTCGCCCTTCCGGCCCTTCCTCTTTGACGCTGGCCAGAGGCCGGGGCCTCCTGCAGCTCTGGGCACTGATCACTGGGCGACCCGGGGGTCTGGGCAGGGGACAGCGTGGACAGACCCTTCCCACACCCGCGGCCGGAAGACCCCCGACCCTGCTGGTGTAGAGGGGAGACCCCACGCTCGCAGGTCCTCAGGTCCCCGTCCCAGCAGGGAGGGCGGAGGCTGCGACCCTAAGGGTCAGGGCTGGGCCTGTCAAGGCTTGCGAGCGTCCAGCTCTGTTTGTCCATTTGCTGCCTGTGTCGCCCCGGGCTGTGGGCTGCTGTCATCCCGGATGTCC